ACCTATCATGTCTTTGTTGTTGTTTAACTTTGATTGTCATTGTACGTATGCAGCTGATTGAAAGTACCCGAAATAACTGAATTCATGTTATCCTGCTGTTAAGTGTGGTTCTTTCTTGCCGTGATGAACTTTATTGAGGGAACTGGATGTATGAAAACTTAAACTCAGTAACCGTATATAAACACATAATGCGGAGTGTGCATAAATCAGCTGACTATAACACAAACAACTATGAGATATTTTGGATACGGTCACTATTGTATCCCGAACTTAAGTTTAGTAGGTGGTGAGTCTGCTTGAGCGACCGAAAAAAGAAAACAATCTTCACGATCAACAAAAGAGTAGGTTGTGTAGCTGTACATGGACATCTCCTTTGATAATGCAACCTGATACTAATTTATTTTCGAGAACGACATATCCTTCGGGAGCAGAGGTGTCCAATAGTAACTCCCCTGTTTTCTTTTGTATTTGGACACTGCCATGAAATAATAATAATTGTATGATGTTTGCAAGTAAAAAGCCATTTCTTCACATTATATCACTGATGTATAAAGGTTAATTTGAGGCATATTTGTTTTAAATTGTGACCTTGAAAGCATGTCATGCAGGTCGAACATACGGCATCTCTTGAACGAATTCGTAGGTGCAACCTGTATCGAGTACAAGCAGGACAGTGGATTATTAAAAAAGCAATGAGACTGTGTGTGCAGATACATTATGCGTTTGCTGGAGTTTCAGTCTTGCACCGACAGACAGATATTTCGATACACGAAGTGCAAAAAACGAACATCAATACGAGCGGGCACATTTTTCGAGAAGTCCAAATTATTCTTGGATACAGTGATGAAGTTAATACTTTACTTCTTGATGGAACAGCCCAGTACCCGTTCCGCACTAAAAGTTGCGCCATACAATGACTTACCTGCTGCCGTGATATTTCCTTTCCGACACTGTGTTCCCTTACAATCCAGTTTAGTGGACCTGGGGTTATCGAAATTGACGCAAGTGTCGTCGCGAAGAGCAAATATAAGCGAGGGAGGCAGCCGCCAACTGTCTGGAGGTTTTAAATGTACGAAGAATCACTGAAAGAAGGGAGATTTCCAACGAGTGGAGAGGACAGCTCCGCGAAAACTCTTCTTCCAATCATACAGCGTTGGGTCGCAACAGACCAATGGGCGGCTTATCAATCGCTGACTTCGTTGGGGTGCAGCCATAGGTGTACGAATCACTCTGACGGCGTGTACATCCTGCGACTGGTGTTCACACAAACAATGTAGAGGCATTTTGGAGTAGGATCAGTCGACGATTGAAGAACGTGGAGGGGTCCGTCGGGGACATGATATGGGACCGCTTCGATGAGGTTCACTAGCGAATAGGGTTCGATTTTTCTTATGAAATCTTTCCCAATGATATGGACACATTTTTTGCCATATTAGACAACTGTATCCTTATTGAACGGTGTGCTGTTCTTGCTGCTTATATTATTTTGATGTTATGTTATCAGTCAATATTTTGATATTTATAAGAGCCTAATGGTTTTTATAATTCACATTACTTATGAGTAGTCACAATATTTATGCAAAAACCTCGTTCATGGGGCTGTTATTGGACCCCTCCACCCCGTCGGGGTCCTCGATGAAACCCAGCCCAGGAGATGCCAAAATTCGTCAAATAGTAATTCACCAGGACTGTGCGTGTGGCCTCGTAGCTCAGCTGGTACAGGGGCGTGAGCGGCGTCCAGATTAACGGGTTCGAAACCCATGAGGGACTACTGAACTTGTCAAAATCATAACATAACACTTCACAGTCGGCCGAACAACCTAACTTGCACCCATATCATGCGATTTCCTCTCTACCCTGGAGCGGTAACTGCAAACGTCTAATAGGTATTCACTGCATACGCGCAATACGTGTCCCAAATAGTGAAAGCTACTTGTAAATACTGGCCCTGATAAAAATGATTTGTTCCGCTTGTACAATGAACGCACTGGAACACTTTGGCTATTCCGTGAGCATGTGGTCACATTTTACCAAAGTAAGCTCTCATCGGATTAAAATCTGTGCACAGCATGAAAATACCATACAAAAGCCTTCTTACGAATATAAAACAACGATGAATTGTAAAATATATTAGTGTATTCGATCGTTCAGACTCCGGTTTCCGGCTTTATGCTCAGTGCGTTGGAAACCCCATCAGATAGGGGCGACTCATTGACACGGTTGGATACGCGTGTCATGGTGGTTGGGGGCAGATAGGGGGGAAATGCGTTAGATTGGTTCCGCTGTGCATGAAGCTGGACATTGAGCAGACGCACATAACTGGCAGATGTGATTTCCGGGCAATTAGCTGGTAACACACAGGATGAAGTAAAGTCGGACGCAGAACGACCATTCAGGTTCGTTGCTTGATGCAAATCAAAAGTAATATCTTTCGATCTCAGGAAATGCTCGACTGGAAAATGCACCCCCGTGGAATCCCGACGGAGTTCAACAGACAGCTGATGCAAATTGATGTCACTGGTCCGATGCGGATTGGATCTCAGATGTTGCAAGTCCCTGCGCTCTCTGGCGCGACGATTTTGAAACCATATTTTTACCTAAAATGTAAATGTTTTGTGTTAGGTTTTTCTTCAATGCGTATCCATTCGTTTGGTCATCCACATCAAAACGCCATAGAAACCCCCAGCTAACAAACATTAAAATGTTTGTTTTGTTATAGTTAATAATTAGCTCATACCCATGGAACCCGGTAAAAGGGAACTGGTAATAAGATGCCTTCTTCTATCTGTTGTGTCAAAGCTAGTCCTAAACATTTTATCCTGATCAAATAATTGAATAGGAAAACAACCCCAGCTGAACTATGTTTTTGTAAATCAAAATTCATAAAATATCTAAAAATGTCTTTACCTATGTCAAACGTTTCAACCATAACAGGGGTCATCCATTGTATAACACAGAATTGATCCCAATTTCTCTTTCCAAACCCTTGTTACGTAACTGCATTGTAAAACTGTTGGTGACTACACCTTTGCCCATCAAGTTTTAGCCAAAACCCGCAATCCTTTAGCCAAAACCCACAATGCTTTAACCACAACCCGTAGTCCTTTGACCTTGGCGCACAACCTTTAGTCACACCGCTGTAGGTGAGTCACAAAAAAAGTATCGGAATATTCTGAGGCCAACGAATGTTGACAGAATTTATTTTTTACACATTTTTATATTGCAAAGCTTGACTAAGAATTGAGATGATGTGGCGATCGTACGCTGCGCAGTTGATTGTAGTAACGGTATCAAATACCGCACAACATATTGTTTGGAGTAGGTTTAATCGATGTGCCTGTATGGTCAAACCATTTGACACATCTTGTATGGCTTCAGCGTTTTCAGCGAATCAATTTTTAATGTACTAGTAATGCAACATTTGACATAATTACCACAGTTGATGTTCAAGTATTAAGGGTTTCATCTAAAGACTCTGATGGACAAAAGTGTGCTAAAGGGAGTGTCTTTTGTGAACGATGTTTATTATCCATGGCATGTTATTGTATTCACATCTCAAGATCGTGCTATATTGTTTTGCATTCACAAGTTATATCTGAGTCGCCTACAGCGGTGTGAATAAAGGTTGCGCGTCTAGGTTAAAGGACTACAGGTGGTGACTAAAGTATTTCCTGTTTTAGCTAAAGGAATGTGGGTCGAGGCTGAAGGATTGCGGGTTATGACTAAAATTTGATGGCAAAAGGTGTAGTAAGGCATTATTAATCTGATCATATCATTCCGTTTTGTGCACCCAAACGTTGTTGACCTAATCAGTTTACTTACCGGGGCAGTTGACCTCTTATTTTCCATTCTAATAGCCCTTGTCCATCTGTTGTACATGCCCGATCACTAGGATTTACAAATCCGATGGGCAACAAATATGCTTGTTTTTTCTAAGTCATCGACTGATAAGATTAAATGAAATGTTGGCAAATCTCGCGACAAGCGTGTCCTCTTTCGATCTTGATGTGATGGATTTGGGACAGGGGAGGGGGACTCAGTATTGCACATTGTATTTGCCCGAAATGCTCGGTGAACACCATTGGTATATTAAAAAACTGAAGTCTCAAATCTTACGTGGGAGTGGGGGATGGATTGCAACACGGGCTACTAAACCGCTGAAGCACAGTTTAAATTTCAGGAGACAAAGAATCAGAGGACAAAATTCTTACTGAAGAATGACTATAAGGCGGGGTGGAGCTTGAGAAGCCAGGTGATATTTGGCTGGGTATTTGAGTGAATGTTTTTCAAACTGAAACAAAGGCTGAATGACCCGAGTGGCATCTTTAAAGAATAATACATAGGTGGTGAAATAAGCCGTGAATAGCACAAACCAATTGTGAACTAAAAGGGCAGAAGCAGTACTGTACAACTGCTCAGAACTGGTTGGGTTTCATCACCCATGGGCCCGACCGAGAATCGTAAGCATACCACCCACTTCACCACCATCGGAATGTCTTCCACGGAGTCATAATCGTCGAGGTCAGTGTCAAGATAACTGAATTATCATACCCTAAACAAGCTTGCAAAGATTGTTCGTGCGATATCACGTATGGTTTCGCGCTTTATTTTCATTTTCGTTTGTAGCACTCATTAGTAGATACTACTCACTTGTGAGTAGTGAATTATTTCAACTACCAAAAATCAACAAGACGACTAAGAGCAGTTTTCTGGATTTCAAAGAATAACTATTGATTACTACAATCCTTACCCGTCGTGTGGACAGGAACTGCAATGGTATGTTTCTGATTAGATTTTTGGTGTTATGTATTCCAAATTACTGATGTCCCATCTGTGATCCACCCGCTCTAGGTCCTCCGTTCGATGGATTTGAGCACTGTGTTGATGAGACCCCCAACCAGGTCGAAACAGATATACGAGTATTGAACACGCTCGTGCAACATCTTGATTTTCATCACATTTGTTCCTCTCAAAGCTTAGTTTTTCCAGCCTCCTTCACGGGATGGAATATGATATTGCCCCAGATTAGACGCTGCATATCTGACATAATATCTACTTATGTCTTTGATTCTATTAGCCACATGCTATTAAGATGTACGATTTCATGAGTTTCTCCATGGTTGCTGGTGCATCAGTTGTAAAATAACACAGTCACAGTAGAAAACGTAACTAGAATTTATTTAAGAGAATGAGTATAGCACTTTCCTCTCTTCCCTATTCCATTTGCTGCCCTTCTGCATTTTTGAGCACTGGAGGCAGTCGTCGTAGCATAGAGTCCACCAAGTTTACTGCCCAACAGTGGTGCTTCCCGGTTTTCCTCAGTTCACATTTCATTTGTTCTTCACACGATAAATTCCCCCTATGAAATTATAACATCAGTCAATATGATTAGGCTATCTTCCGCTTGAATTAGCTCTCAACATTCCAATCTACATTCTGCTACTTGATCCAAATGGTCAGCAACCAAAAGAAAGAAACCGAAACCGGCACACGAAATTGCACATGGTTAATAGTTGTAAAAACTGAAACTCAAAAACCCACTCGGTCACCGTGTAGCTGATCGGGCAGTTTTTCAACAGAATCATAACCCCTGGAAGGCTAGTGCTGAGGTGAGCGAAGCCCCATGTCCACGCAACAAGGTCGCAAAGGTGGATTGTGCTACATCGTGTAGATGTGAAATGAAAAATAATACGGCTTGATCAGCTGTCTGGTAGCCGATTGGGTAACATGCTTGCGTTCTACCTGTGATGAGGTCCCGGGTTCACAATCCCCAGTTGAATGTCGATAGATGATTTGTTCACTGCTGCTGATAACGAGACCCAACCAGGTAGAAACAGCCGCTATCTAGTAGTGCGTCCTAGCTTTCTTTAGCTCGCATTTCATTTGCTGTCTATAAAAGACCGAATTCGGTATATGTATAAACATCTGCAACTCTTTTATCGACACACCTGCTCAGAATTAGTTCATGCATGAAATTGCCGCACATTTCTGCAGTATGTATAGGCATCTTGTATTCATTTTAGACTGTAAATGTGCCCCTGAACTTTCATGCCCGAACTTGCTCGAGGATAATATTGCAGTGCTTATAGATGCCTTTCAATGACTGAGGCAACATTTGTGGGACATAATGTGATTCAGTTTATCCAATGTTTTGCTCACTATTTTACGGTCAAATGAGATTCGACAATTTATTCTTATTTCCTGTTTGTTTCTAGTGAATTTCTGTACTGGTTCACGGTTGGTCATTAGGATATGGTACCTGTGCATTTTAGGGTTGATTGATATTGACTTGTCCGTCTTCCTGTGGTAGTGGGTCTTTCTGATTAAGGTGACAGTAAATGCGCACTTGATTAAAGCGAGAATCATCTGACGAAAATCTTAAGCGCCCGGTTTTGCTCTCGCGCAGCTGTTTGTAAAACCTCGAGTTCACCAATCCACCAATTTGGTATTTTATGGTAGACTGGCAGTTATGGGTCATGACACTAACCACTAATAAATACGGACAGAATTGAATTGACTATCCTTCAGACTGCATCTTCATTTATAGTTCCAAGGTCTTCCAGTCTACCGTACACTCGAAAGCACTATAGACTCCAGTTTCGCTCTTATTAGAGTTCATCAGTAGTCATTATATCCACCGTCCCGTCCGGACTTTGGACTCCGGACCCACCGAGCATGAAAGGTGTGTGTGCCAACCAGTTCAAACCCTCAGGGCTGAACCGAATTGTCAATTCATGTTTGTTCCGGGTGTTGTCTTCAGTGACAGGCATTTTATTTATGGCCCGACAGCAACGAAGGGTGACACAGGCACAGTTGATATGCATCACTGATGAACTCTAATAGGAGAGAAACTCGAGTCTGTGGTGCTTCCATGAGTGTAAGGTTGACTGGATGAACTGAGGATTGTGCGCGTGAAGGTGAAATCCGAGGATGATGGTTAATTGAAATCAATATCAACTATCCTACACTGTACTACTCACAAGTAACTGTGAGTCAAACGTAAAACAGCAAAAAGTTATTGGCATTCATGAAATACGCTCATCGTTTAGAAAAGACAGTGGGTAAAGAGCACATTTGCGTTCTTTTCACGACTAAGCTGATTTTTAACCTCAGTCGGACTGACTGATTGATCGTGGTCAAACGGAGCTTATGAATTGTAATTCATTTGTTTTGTATACGCAGAATTTGATCACTATGTTTGGCAAGGAACGGAGTGTTCTGAGTATTTGTAAGAAATTCATATTATATGCGTGAAGAATGAATGAAATAATACAAGTCAAATGCAGTCGTCAAATTGAGTTATTTCCGGATAACCAGATTCCAGACATTGTCGGCAGTGTGTGGTTAGAATACCGAGTATGATACAGACGTGCTAAACCGTAGTCCGCTGGAAATGAGGCCAGGTGTGAAACCGAATTGGTGCTATATGAGTTACGAGTTATCGGTTGATCGGCGGGGGGGAGGCATAATTACGTAACTATACA